ACCCCCAGAATTCCCCAGCCAGCCTTGCTGGCTGGGGAATTCTGGGGGTTAAAGTCCACTCATCTTAAAGTTGCCAAGGTTGAGAAACACTGCCCTGGAGTGTAGGTACCACTCCAACAGAGCCACCAAGGGCTATCCAGAGGACACCTGGCAGAGGATATCTCCTCTGTTCACAGACCCGTTTTACCACCAATCAAGCAATGGAATCTCTTCTGTCTCAAACTGGAATCGTTCCAGAATAACGCCACGGCCTTCCTCTTTTGTGGTTCTCGCAGGACTCCAGTTCTAGGCTTGGGGAGCTGGACAAGACACTTCCTGGTTTACAGGCACATGATTCATCGTGCATCAGGATCTGGCGCGCCCTTTCTCTCGACTTCCCCTGCACTTGACGCGAACGTGCCACCGACCCATCCTTCTTCCCCTAAAGCCACGGCACGGGGCTGCGGTCTGCACTGCCACACCCCCTCCTCCAGGATGGAATAAGCATGGACAAAGCCCCCCATGCCTTTCCCTCCAGGGCTCCCTCTCTCTTTTACTCCTTTCCCCAAGGGGGGACTCTCCCGTCTACACATCGCTCCGACTTCAAGGATTCTGAAACGGCGTTTTGCCCGCCGAGGCTTAGGCTCCAGACAGTGGAACGCAATTAACGAGCCGCCTTCGACGGCAGCAGATTCCTCGTCCCAACCTCAGAAGAACGGGCAGACGAACAACACTGGTCACCTTTGGAAGAGAGATGCAGGGTGGGGGAGAAGCAAAGGGGTTAATTTTTAAGTTGTCGGTGTCTCGCTTTTTTTTTCCCTCTCCACACACAGAAAATATATGTGAGTTTGTACGCCCCCCTCTTCCCCCCACCTAGGAGACTGCAGTTGGGTACGTCCACGGCCGGCCCTGCACGAACTTCTTTTGCAAACAAGACAAGAATTCCCAGAGGGGTTTTTTTTTGGTTTCTGTTATTTTTTTTTCCTTCCCTTTCTCCCTTCCTTCTGGATGATTTAATTATTAATTAATTATTGATGTGGATGCTCAGATAGGGGAAGTAAATTAAATGGGACACTTCTTTTTCTTTGTTTTGAAGGGTGGAAGGGCTTCCTTGCTTTGATGTGCTTTTTCTGTTTTCTCTTCTCTCTTTCTCTCTCTCTCTCTCTGTCTCTTTGGTTAAAAGAATAAGAATAATTCGGGGAAAAAGAGAACCAAAATGATCTCACTTTGCAATCTGGTGTGTTTTTTGTTCGGTTTGGTTTCCAATGCTTTCTTAATCCAAGGTACTGGGGAACATTTTATTCACTCGTTGTTCTCCAGAAAATGGTTTAGGGCTCACATGAAAGCAAAAACCCAGTGGAATCCCCTGGGAGGGGCTCCAAAAAGTCAAGGCCACAGTTGCAACTGTGTCATCAAAGCAATTGTCATCTTTGGTCGAGTTGGGTGGGGATCCTGGGACCTGACGTTCAGCAGTGTCTAGGAGGCCCAGGATGTCCATTCCTGGTCCTTGGAGGTCACCCAATCACCAGGGGGCCTGCCAGGGGAAGGGAGGTCAAAAAAGTCAAGGTCACAGAATCATAATACCATCAAATCATGAAGTTGGAAGGAATCTGAGAGCTCCTAGTCCAACCCCCTGCCCAGGGCAGGAATCCTCAGACCACACCAGACAGACCTTCTGAACCAACCTTCTCCTGAACCCCTCCAGCGATGGAGCCCCCACGACTCCAGGAGGGAGGCTGTTCCTCTGCTCCGTAGCTCTCACCGTCAGGAAAATCCTCCTTATTTCAAGTCTGGATCTCTCTAACGCTTCCACCCAGCGGTTCTTGGGAGCTTTGGAGAATAAATCCACTCCTTCTTCTCTGGGACACCCCTTCATGTGCGGGAGGACTGCTGTCCTGTCTCTCCTTAGCCTTCTCCAGGCTAAACATATCAAGTTCCTTTAACCACTGTTTGTAGGATTCTGCCTCCGATCCCTTATTATATCCGTTTTCTGTATTTGGTGAGAAGAGTGGGACCTTGAAAGTCTCCGACTGCGTCTCAAGAAGTCTGGGGACTTTCTGAGACCCAGGGCCAGTTCAGAGGCCTCAGAGTTTGACGTACTGTCTGTGTGTGCATTTAACTTTAAAAATATTCACTGTATGCTTCCTTCATTTCTCCATCGCCCTTTTTTAATTTTATTATGGCGAAGAGCCACAGGGGCTGGAAACGGCTGGCTCACGAGTCTCTCTAGCATCTGAAAGCACAGCATCTTCTGTTCAGCTTGTCCCTATCATTGTCTATCCAGGGAGTAAATCATGCTAAGTGGATGTTTTGAGTCACCGCTCTTCCAGTCCTGATACTCAGTGCCTCCTCTGCAAAATTAAAACATGAGAGTCTGCACGTCTTGGATTTTGCGGGCTTCGTACCATGGAGAGAAATGCGCCTGCATTTTTCCCCTTATCAGTTCTTATTCAGTGTGATGAAAGAGTGTTTGCCCTGGTGGAAATGCTTGTGGTATCTTTGCCCTGATTTAGATATGGGGTGGCCCAGGCACGTGTGTGAAAGTCCTGCCTTTATTGGGGGAGCGTCTATCCACAGCGCCTCCCACGCTGCCCTCCCATTAAAGCCCAAGAGAAGATCGATCAGAAGGGGACTCCAGCCTTGGGGCTTTTTCAGGTTTAGGATGACGGAAGCTGTGAAATAGCAAACTAAACGAACAACAGTGTCACCCAGCACCATGTCGAACAAGCAAGTCAGCTCAAAAGCACCTCCAAGAAAAATCGGAGAGAAATTCCCCAGCACCCTAATCCCGCAAACTCACAATGGGGTGGACTCAACCCCAAATATTTTTGAAGTTCCAAGTCTGGGTTCACACAACACTCTAAATTCTAAAACGAAGTAAACCAAATGTGGCCGTGCTCACATGACATGCTAAGAGAGTATCTAGATGCCTGGCTTACACTGAACCATAAACTACTCCAAACCTACTCCATTTGAGCCAGACCTAATGGGGTGGCTGAATCCAGCCTGACGGACAATCGACAAGGAGCAGAAACCAAGTTTCAGGGTTTATACAGTTGTGGAAAAGTAAGGCTTTCTTGAGCCAGGATATAAGCTGTTCCAAGTAAGGCTGCCTTTTGCAATGGACTGGTGGTGATGTTGTCTACGCCGATGGCCTTCAAGTGGTGCTCCAGATGTTTTGGGATCGCACCCAAACTACTGGTACCATCTTTGCTTTCTTTTGCCACAGTTGTTCTACTTCTGCTTGCAGGTCTTTATATTTTGTGATTTCCTCCAGTTCCTTCTCTCCTATTCTGCTGTCTCCAGGTATTGCAATGTCCGCTATCCAGACTTTTTTGCCTTTCTTATCAACAGTTGCTGAGTCTGGGCTGTTGTGTGGCAGGTGCTTGTCTGTCTGAATTCTAAAGTCCCAGAGCACTTTAGCGTCTTCATTTTCTCTTGCTTTGTCTTTTTTGGGGTCCCGCCAGTTCCTGCTTGCAGGCAAATGGTATTTCTTGCAGATCTTCCAAAGCACCATGGTTGCTACTTTGTCGTGCTGTTGTTTGTAGTCAGTCTGTGCGATCTTCTCGCAGCAGGTAACTAGGTCGTCCACTGTTTCTTTGGCTTCTTTGCAGAGGCAGCATTTGCTGTCTGTTGCTGTCTTCTCGATTCTGGCTTTCTACGCATTTGTTCTTAAGGCTTGGTCTTGTGCAGCCAGAATTAGCCACCCTGTCTCTTTCTTCAACTTTCCTGCTCTTAGCCATTGCCAGGTCTTGCTATCAGCTTTGCCTGCTAATTTTTTTGTGTACTGGCCATGTAATACTTCACCTTACCACATCCCTTTTCTGGTCTTCATCTGGCCTTTCTTATAGGCCAGTTTGGTCTCTTTGGTATTCAGGAAGCCTTCATGGTGTACTAGCTTCAGTGCATCTTCTTCACTGTCCTTCAGATATTCTTCCAATGCCCCTTTTTCTTCTTCAATTGTCTGGTGTCCTTGCAACATTTCACGCCCCCCTGTGCTCCTTGGTAAGTAGAGTCTGTCAACATTGCTGCGTGGATGAAGGGCTCATTGGCATTATTTTTCTGGTCTTCCTATCCAGGGCTCCTAGTTCAGCTTGAGTCCAGTCTACTATTCCAGCTGTGTATCTAATGACTGGAATTGCCCAGGTGTTAATCGCCTTGATGGCATTGCCTCCATTGAGTTTGGACTTTAAGATCGCCTTCATTCTTCTGATGCATTCACTACTAACCTTCTTCTTGACTTCAGTGTGCTTGATGTTGTCAGCCTGAAGGATGCCCAGGTATTTGTAGTGATCTTATTGGTTATGGTTGGTCACACAGCCAGATGTTTAGACTGGATTTGGCATTTTTATCCACTTATCAAGTCCTTGTCAAGGACTGGGATAGGCAGATGTTGTCTGATGGGGTTAAAGGTATCGTCACAGGATATAAGCTGCCTTTTGCAATTGACTGATGGTGACGATGATTCGAATAATGCAATACAAAAAATAATCAAAACGAATCACAACTTTGATTGGGTGTTGATCCCCATGAGTCTATAATGCCCAGCAACTGAAAAAAAAAATGGCTGTTTTCTTACAAAGGTTTTCAGCCTTCCTCCAGGCAGGCAAAAATAATAAATCCCTGCAAATAGAAAACCAATGTGTCAAGGTTAGCCTCTGACAGGCTAGCTCTCTACATGCAGGGAAAGTGTTCATTTGTATTCAGCCCCACCCAGGGAAGCAGGACAAACCAGCTGCAAGTTATTCTCACCCAAAGAATGAGTTCACGAGGACCTTCCTCAGTGCGGATCGCAGTTATCCGGAATCCTGCCAAGGAAAGAAGGAAAGACCTCAGTGTTCGGCCTCGGCTTCCAAGGCTAGATCTTTGGGTTAGGGAAAGGAATAAGCACATCTGTAGCAGGTGCAACAACCGAACATACTGATGGGCGCTGTGCAGTGGGATGAAAGCACAGAAGCACCCCACTTTCATTTCGGAAATTTAATGCACATTGCTCGGTTCCATCTTTGTCCACCCTCCCAAAGATGCTTTTCATACATAACAGCATCCCACTTAGAGCAGGAAAAAAGGTGGTTTGGCACGGTAGGAATAGACTACCCCTTTTCCCCCGAAAAGAAGGTGAAACAACCCTTTGGGGAAACACCGTGGTTCAGCACAGAGGTCGGTTGGACTGTTTTTGAAAAAGGGGGCAAAACAGCCCTCTCCCCACTGGGCTTCTACCTCTTGTGATTTTTAAAAATTCTTCTTTTAATTAAAAAACGAAACTTCAGCCTTTCTGGGCCTGCTGAGGAGTAATTCCCTTTGGGGTAAGTGGGTGTGTTCTGGTTGGTCATGCCCGCCATCGCTGCAATTTTGTGAAGGGGCTTACACCATGCTCCCCAGATCCCGGTTTGGCTCCCCAGCCCAGCTCCAAAAGTCTCCCTACCCTGATTTAGAGAAAGAGCTCCACAACTGCATACTGAGCCTGCAATAAATTGTTTCCTGCCTCCCTTATACTTTTTTTCATCTCGGCGTCACCCTGATAAGCTGAGCAGCAGTGAATTAAGACACACAAAAACGCAATGCCAGCCTACAAATCTGGTTGCCACCATAGGCTGTTAGTGTTAGAGCTTTCTAAAAAATATTTTAAACAAGAATGATTTCCTACAGCCATGAAAAGGTGCAGGTCGATCCCTGGCTGTGGTTCCCCGGTACGCAAAGCCTCCATGAACAGCATAGTTGACCCCTAAATCATGAGCACTGTGGGGAACAGTGAGCAAGTTCACCATCAGGTAGACCAGTACCTCCCAACTTGGCATCCTCCAGCTGAGAATGGTAGGATCACCAGGCTGGGGGCTGGCTGCCCCAGGGGCCCTTGTGGGTTTCTAGGGGCTAGGAACATCTTGCTCTGAAGGATCTTCCTTGGCTCTTATTTCTGGATCGCCAAAGATGGCATGATTTCTGACTGAAATGCCCAAATTGCTGTGGTTGGCAACGGCGCATTGCTTGGGTGAAAGTGCCTTTTTATTTTTTTATTTATTTATTATTAAATTTCTATGCCGCCCATCTCCCCCAAAGGGTGACTCTGGGCGGCTCACGTTTAAAATCAAACCTCAAAAACAAAGGCCTCTGCCCTTTCTTTTTCTCATTCCTCCAAACATGGCAGACACCCATCGCCTCTCCCGTGGGCACGCATGCTCCCCAGCTCCTGGCCGATCTCAAATCCCTTCCCGGGCTCCAC